GCTGGCAGTCAGGGGGGGCCTTGCATGGTGCCCAGGGGGGCTGTGGGGAAGGTGCATTGGGCCCAGCTGGCAGGCAGGGGGGGTCCTTGCATGGTGCCCAGGGGGGTTGTGGGGAAGGTGCATTGGGCCCAGCTGGCAGGCAGGGGGGGTCCTTGCATGGTGCCCAGGGGGGTTGTGGGGAAGGTGCATTGGGCCCAGCTGGCAGGCAGGGGGGGTCCTTGCATGGTGCCCAGGGGGGTTGTGGGGAAGGTGCATTGGGCCCAGCTGGCAGGCAGGGGGGGTCCTTGCATGGTGCCCAGGGGGGTTGTGGGGAAGGTGCATTGGGCCCAGCTGGCAGGCAGGGGGGGTCCTTGCATGGTGCCCAGGGGGGTTGTGGGGAAGGTGCATTGGGCCCAGCTGGCAGGCAGGGGGGGTCCTTGCATGGTGCCCAGGGGGGTTGTGGGGAAGGTGCATTGGGCCCAGCTGGCAGGCAGGGGGGGTCCTTGCATGGTGCCCAGGGGGGTTGTGGGGAAGGTGCATTGGGCCCAGCTGGCAGGCAGGGGGGGTCCTTGCATGGTGCCCAGGGGGGTTGTGGGGAAGGTGCATTGGGCCCAGCTGGCAGGCAGGGGGGGTCCTTGCATGGTGCCCAGGGGGGTTGTGGGGAAGGTGCATTGGGCCCAGCTGGCAGGCAGGGGGGGTCCTTGCATGGTGCCCAGGGGGGTTGTGGGGAAGGTGCATTGGGCCCAGCTGGCAGGCAGGGGGGGTCCTTGCATGGTGCCCAGGGGGGTTGTGGGGAAGGTGCATTGGGCCCAGCTGGCAGGCAGGGGGGGTCCTTGCATGGTGCCCAGGGGGGTTGTGGGGAAGGTGCATTGGGCCCAGCTGGCAGGCAGGGGGGGTCCTTGCATGGTGCCCAGGGGGGTTGTGGGGAAGGTGCATTGGGCCCAGCTGGCAGGCAGGGGGGGTCCTTGCATGGTGCCCAGGGGGGTTGTGGGGAAGGTGCATTGGGCCCAGCTGGCAGGCAGGGGGGGTCCTTGCATGGTGCCCAGGGGGGTTGTGGGGAAGGTGCATTGGGCCCAGCTGGCAGGCAGGGGGGGTCCTTGCATGGTGCCCAGGGGGGTTGTGGGGAAGGTGCATTGGGCCCAGCTGGCAGGCAGGGGGGGTCCTTGCATGGTGCCCAGGGGGGTTGTGGGGAAGGTGCATTGGGCCCAGCTGGCAGGCAGGGGGGGTCCTTGCATGGTGCCCAGGGGGGTTGTGGGGAAGGTGCATTGGGCCCAGCTGGCAGGCAGGGGGGGTCCTTGCATGGTGCCCAGGGGGGTTGTGGGGAAGGTGCATTGGGCCCAGCTGGCAGGCAGGGGGGGTCCTTGCATGGTGCCCAGGGGGGTTGTGGGGAAGGTGCATTGGGCCCAGCTGGCAGGCAGGGGGGGTCCTTGCATGGTGCCCAGGGGGGTTGTGGGGAAGGTGCATTGGGCCCAGCTGGCAGGCAGGGGGGGTCCTTGCATGGTGCCCAGGGGGGTTGTGGGGAAGGTGCATTGGGCCCAGCTGGCAGGCAGGGGGGGTCCTTGCATGGTGCCCAGGGGGGTTGTGGGGAAGGTGCATTGGGCCCAGCTGGCAGGCAGGGGGGGTCCTTGCATGGTGCCCAGGGGGGTTGTGGGGAAGGTGCATTGGGCCCAGCTGGCAGGCAGGGGGGGTCCTTGCATGGTGCCCAGGGGGGTTGTGGGGAAGGTGCATTGGGCCCAGCTGGCAGGCAGGGGGGGTCCTTGCATGGTGCCCAGGGGGGTTGTGGGGAAGGTGCATTGGGCCCAGCTGGCAGGCAGGGGGGGTCCTTGCATGGTGCCCAGGGGGGTTGTGGGGAAGGTGCATTGGGCCCAGCTGGCAGGCAGGGGGGGTCCTTGCATGGTGCCCAGGGGGGTTGTGGGGAAGGTGCATTGGGCCCAGCTGGCAGGCAGGGGGGGTCCTTGCATGGTGCCCAGGGGGGTTGTGGGGAAGGTGCATTGGGCCCAGCTGGCAGGCAGGGGGGGTCCTTGCATGGTGCCCAGGGGGGTTGTGGGGAAGGTGCATTGGGCCCAGCTGGCAGGCAGGGGGGGTCCTTGCATGGTGCCCAGGGGGGTTGTGGGGAAGGTGCATTGGGCCCAGCTGGCAGGCAGGGGGGGTCCTTGCATGGTGCCCAGGGGGGTTGTGGGGAAGGTGCATTGGGCCCAGCTGGCAGGCAGGGGGGGTCCTTGCATGGTGCCCAGGGGGGTTGTGGGGAAGGTGCATTGGGCCCAGCTGGCAGGCAGGGGGGGTCCTTGCATGGTGCCCAGGGGGGTTGTGGGGAAGGTGCATTGGGCCCAGCTGGCAGGCAGGGGGGGTCCTTGCATGGTGCCCAGGGGGGTTGTGGGGAAGGTGCATTGGGCCCAGCTGGCAGGCAGGGGGGGTCCTTGCATGGTGCCCAGGGGGGTTGTGGGGAAGGTGCATTGGGCCCAGCTGGCAGGCAGGGGGGGTCCTTGCATGGTGCCCAGGGGGGTTGTGGGGAAGGTGCATTGGGCCCAGCTGGCAGGCAGGGGGGGTCCTTGCATGGTGCCCAGGGGGGTTGTGGGGAAGGTGCATTGGGCCCAGCTGGCAGGCAGGGGGGGTCCTTGCATGGTGCCCAGGGGGGTTGTGGGGAAGGTGCATTGGGCCCAGCTGGCAGGCAGGGGGGGTCCTTGCATGGTGCCCAGGGGGGTTGTGGGGAAGGTGCATTGGGCCCAGCTGGCAGGCAGGGGGGGTCCTTGCATGGTGCCCAGGGGGGTTGTGGGGAAGGTGCATTGGGCCCAGCTGGCAGGCAGGGGGGGTCCTTGCATGGTGCCCAGGGGGGTTGTGGGGAAGGTGCATTGGGCCCAGCTGGCAGGCAGGGGGGGTCCTTGCATGGTGCCCAGGGGGGTTGTGGGGAAGGTGCATTGGGCCCAGCTGGCAGGCAGGGGGGGTCCTTGCATGGTGCCCAGGGGGGTTGTGGGGAAGGTGCATTGGGCCCAGCTGGCAGGCAGGGGGGGTCCTTGCATGGTGCCCAGGGGGGTTGTGGGGAAGGTGCATTGGGCCCAGCTGGCAGGCAGGGGGGGTCCTTGCATGGTGCCCAGGGGGGTTGTGGGGAAGGTGCATTGGGCCCAGCTGGCAGCGGGGGGGTTGGTGGGAAAGGGGCATTGGGTCCAGCTGGCAGGCAGGGGGGGTCCTTGCATGGTGCCCAGGGGGGCTGTGGGGAAGGTGCATTGGGCCCAGCTGGCAGTCAGGGGGGGCCTTGCATGGTGCCCAGGGGGGCTGTGGGGGGGGGGCATTGGGGCCAGAGGGCAGGCAGGGG